TACATCGTGGCGACCAAAACTGGATGCAAATATTCCAAGGGTGGCCTTCCCAAGGCCTTATAAAATGGTATCAACACTTCACGTGATCTGGATTCCATCCCTAGAGTAGAAGGCCAGCAATGCAAATCTATTCCCTTTGGACCATTCTCCTCTTCCTTTGCAGGTGGCCGGTCTTGGCAACCACACCTTCCCTGGTACCCGGCACAGCGTGGGTATGGCGGTGCTGAACCACCTGGCCTCCAAGCTGGACGTGGCTGACCAGTGGAAGAGAGACAAGCAATGCTGCGCGGATGTGGCGATGGCCCGCTTAGGAGAGGCTGAGCTTTTGCTGATGAAACCCCGCAAGTTCATGAACCTCAATGGGATCTCGGTGGTCACGGCGGGTATGATAGCCACTCCTTCGTCCTCCCCACTCACTAACGGATGGCCGCTTCCCTTTGTGAGGTCCACATCGCGATGGAAGGCTAAGCCACTGGTTGTTTTCCATTGAGGGTTTGTTGAGTACATCGCCCTTGATGGGATTGTGGCTTAGTTTTTGTGCATACAGGCAGTTAAGATAGGAATGATGGTTTTTTTTACCCCAACATTGTTTAAACAAATCATACAGCAATGTATGAATATGGAGGGACGGAGGGAGATGGAAATGATAGGGAGGGAGAGACGAAGGGAAGGAGATGAAAATGGAAGGGGGGAGGGAGAGAAAGAGGGAAGAAGGGAGGAAGAGAAGGAGGGAGGGAGATGAAGGGAATGAAGAAAAGAGGGAGGGAGGAGATGGAAATAGGGAGGGAGAGAAAGGGAAGAAGGGAGGGAGAGAAGGAGGGAGATGGAAATGAAGGGAATGGACGAGAGATGGAGGGAGGGAGAAGATGGAAATGGAAGGGAGGGAGGGAGAAAAGAGGGAGGGAGGAGATGGAAATGGGAGGGAGGGAAGGGGGGAAGAAGAGGGATGGAGATGAAGGGAAGGGAGACGAGAAGAAAGGAGGGAGGAGATGGAAATGGAAGAGAGGGAGGGAGAGAAGGAGGGAGGGAGGAAGATGAAGGGAAAGGAAAAGAGGGAGGGAGGAGATGGAAATGGGAGGGAAAGAAGGAGGGAGGGAGATGAAGGGAAAGCAGAAGAGAGGGAGGAAGGAAGGAGTTGAAAATGGGAAGGGAGGAGGGAGAGAGGGATGGAGATGGAAATGAGAGGGAGGGGGGGAGGAAGATGATGGAAATGGGAGAGGAAAATGGAAGAGAGGAAAGGGGGAGATGGAAATAAGGAAGAAGGGAGGAACATGGAAATGACAGGGAGGGAGGGAGGAAGAAGATGGAAACGGAAGGGAAGGAGATGGGAGGAAAGAAGAGGGGTAAAAATAAGGAAGGAAGAGAGGAGATGGAAATGGGTTAGAGGAAGGAAGAATCCCACAGTAATGAGTTTCTCACACTGATGGCATTTCCCAATTCTTGTCTATCTAGTATCTAAACATCTAGGAATGCCTCTTGTCTTCCCTCCATAAACCTGCTTTTTCTCCGTGTTTGGAGAACTTGGGGTGGGGATCCTTTCCCTGCAACCGACATTACCAAAAAATAAATAAAACCAAGCATGCCCCATTCGACCAGTTGGTCTCCCACTAGATCGCAACTCTAACCATCTCTTCTTGTTTCGTCAGCGGAAAGATACAACCTGGACATCGAAGAGATCTACCTGGTCCACGATGATCTGGATCGGCCTCTGGGGAAGCTCTCCCTAAAACTCGGTGGCAGTGCAAGGTATTTCGTTGACAGGCCCCCGCAGACGCCTTACTCCACGTTTAAGAGCCGTAGAGAGTTTTTCGTTTTAAGAGAGGGAGGAAAACAAATCCATTGCAGGGGGGGAAAAACGGGCCATAGTTCTTACTACAGGCTCAGCAATGGGGAGGGACCCAATTACGATAGCAATGGATGCACCACTTAAAAATTGAAAGTATTTCATGCTGGACAAAACCTAGATCTTTGCGGTGGATTTGTTTTCATTACCCAAAAGTAGGTAACCTCATTGGTGCAATGACAGGGGAAGCTACCGGAAGATAAATTGAAAGCAAGCCCACTCTTTACCAGCACTGATGAGGTTACCTAGTTGGGCCATGAAATGTCTGCAAGAAAATAATCGAGCTCGGAGGGCACCAAGGAGCCCAGTCTTCCTCCTCCTCTTCCTCCTCTTCTTTCTCCTCCTCCCAGCAAACCACCAGGCTCAGAGGGCACCAAAGAGGCCTCCTCTTCCTCCCCTTCCCTTTCTCCTCCTCCTCCATTCTGCAAACCCCACTCCCTTCTAGCACTGATGATGTTCCCTAGTTGGGTAACGAAACATCTACAAAAGAAAACCATTCAGCTCAGAGAGCATCAACGACCCCACAGTCCTCCTCCCCCCATCTTTTCTTTTCCTCCTCCTCTTCCTCCTCCTCCTCCCGACAAACCCTATTCCCTACTGACACTGGTGATGTTCCCTAGTTGGGTCACGAAACGTCTTGCAAGAAAACCACCCAGCTCAGAGAGCACCAAGGACCCCACAGTCCTCCTCCTCCTCCCTCTTTTTCCTTCCTCCTCCTCCCTCTTTTTCCTTCCTCCTCCTCCTCCCAATACCCCACTCTCTTTTAGCACTGAGGATGTTACGTAGTTAGGTAGTGAAACGTCTCCAAAAACCCCACCAAGCTCAGAAAGCCCCAAGAATCCCACAGTCTTCCTCACTTCAACCCTGAGCTACAAGAAATCTCCTTTATTAAAACTTGGATGACTTGATCCCACTTAATCAATCAGGCAACCCTGGTTCAACTCACTCAGCAGAACTGTAACAATTCCACATTCCATCCTTTTTGTGCAGTTCTCAGGGTGCTTGTTGGTGTTGTGTTGTTTCCAATCCAACTCTCTTAATCATACCTCTAAAGTGACTGGCTCGTTCTCGGCTTAAGTTAGCCAGGTCTTTAAGCCACAATTAAGCTAGGATTGGACTGAAACAAACCCATTGTGAAGGCTCTCTCACAGGCCTCGTTTATCTTTCAGGGGCCACAACGGAGTCCGTTCCTGCATCAGCTCCCTGCGCTCCGACGTAGGTCTTAACTTTGCTTTCCCATCCCTTCCTTGCACCCTCGTGTTGACGTCAGAACAGGAAATCTTTGGCTGAAATCCTGCATCAGAGCAGCCGGGCCTATCTCGGCTGATCCCGGACAATCCCCCTTTGCACACCTGCCGGGGTTCGGCTTCTTGCCTGGCCCAAGAGCCGGTGTAGAGCTTGGTTAAACATGACACAGGGGTAAAACGCCTGCTTAAAAAGCTGTGCCATGAGTAGTTAGAACCGCCTGCCTGCGCCCAAGTTCTAGTCAGTTTCCCTCTGCTGAGTGGGAAGGCAAATTCGGGCAGGGCCCTATTCAGAAGGGGGTCCACTGATCTAATGATGCTCGAGAGGGTTGGAATCTGTCCCATCCCGTACCCCAACTGAAGATCCTTCATGCCTTTTTTCTTCGCAGCGCATGGTCCGGCTGAGGGTCGGCATTGGCCGCCCGACAGAAAAGGCATCCGTAGAGGACTACGTCCTAAGCCGGTTCACCGACGCGGAGCAAGAGGTGTTGCCGCCCGTTTTGGAGAGGGCAGCCAATATGCTGCTGCAGCATATCCAACAGAACTGCGGCGAACGGGAACTCCCGGGTTCCCGCGACGGCCGCGTGAGCCCCCCTCCCAAGACAGAAGGCCGGGGGCCCTCTTGAACCCCACCCTATAAGACTGGCCAAGTGTAAAGCAGCCGAGTGACTTGTGTGTGTGTCTTTTGATGGAGCAGAGTTGTGTGAACTGAGGCTGTCTCCCGGTGGCGGCTTCACACAATGGACAAAACTTTACGGCAAGCAATGAGGGTGAGGGTCTTTTAAGGGCTGGGATCGAGGATTAAATAACAGACAGACAGAGACAGACACAAACACACACACACACACACACACACACACACACACACACACACACACAGTGATCCTTCGTTCTTTGGTGCCCTCAAAATTACAGTTTCAGGACAAACGGAAAGTCGTGCTTCTAGTTCTTATGAATTTGTTTGTGGGTGGTGAGAAAAATGTCATTTTGGGCTTCCTGCTGCCCTCAAATTGGAGGTGGGGTGGAAAAAAGACGATTCGTGCCATGGCAGGAGGAATGGCATGGCTAGTCCTTGACTTATGGCCCATAAGGGAGCCTTGCCGCGAGGCACCCTCGTGATGGCCCCTGTTGGTATCCTGGCTCTCTGGCGGGAAGGCTGCCATCGCGCCGCCGCAGGGGGTACT